TAAAGTTTCCATATTTTATCTACACTCCGACTGAATAAATCCTGTGACTTGTGGCAAGAGAAAATTCCGTAAGTTATATTATTGCAGTCGCAGCGGTTTAACCAGTTTAAATTAATTTTAGCTTGTGGTGATACAGAAAAGAGAACTGGAGAACAACTAAACTATTTATGAGACATGTCTTAAAGGGTTTTCTTTTTTTATGTCCAAAAAAATAAAGGGAAAATTTTTTTCGAGGGAAGTCGAGAAGCACTCTCTTAGCGGGAGCGACACTGAACAACAGAGTTTACCTCAGTGAAGCCATGTTTTTTTATAAATGTGCCCTAAAATCTCCTGGAAAATTTGGTCAGAATACCACAGAGCTAGCAATTTGAAATCTTAAAAAAAAAGGTTTGTGGGCTTTTTTTGTGCGCTTTGCATTTTTACTGAGTTTCACAAATATTTTCTTTTCTTTTGATGCTGCCTATTATTACTGAAACGTATAAAGAAGGGTCCTCTATCGAGAAAGATGGAAATAACTGCCTGAGGAAAAAACCAACAAAATTATCTATTTTAGTACACATCATTTAATCTAACAGCGTCTTTGTGACGGGCTGTTAGACATCTTTCATATATCCAAATGTGATTGGCTATCATGCCTTTAGGAAGTTTAGCGTTAAATTGCTGGTACATTGCAGTCAACAAACTGCTGTTAAGCTTCTCGATTTCCTCAACAGCTACAAAACATCGAAAGGATTTCTTTTCAGCTGGTTTTTCAGAACATGGGAGTTTTTCTCCACTTGTTCTTCACCTCTGTGGTTCTCTCGCGTGGACAAGTTCAATCATGCCCAGACGGTAGGTTTCAAATCTTGCATTTTGTGGATAAGGAACTTTTATTTTTTTCCTTTAAAATTCTCAGCTATACAATTTGCTAAGTTAAAAAAGGTAAGGCGAATTCTCAAGAACTGAAATACTTAAATTCTCATATATAAGTGTAGAACCTAAACTAACAAAATAACTACAAAATTCATGATCCATTTCAATGCATTGTCATCTTTTTATTTATTCAAAATATTCTCGATTCCTTTTCACTACATGCGAACGTATGTTTGCAAAGTATTTTTAGTTATGACCAAACAATCTTCAGAATTTCTTAACTACTCATATTTTTCCCTGCTTATAGTCTTGAATTCTTTTGAAACACTCATATAAAAATAAACTTAAGTTTTATCGAGGCCATCTAAATGTAATGACAAGACTTTCGCAAGAAAGATCCTACAGTTATGAAAAGTCGTGCACTTAAGGAAAGACAAATTGATGCATTAACTAGTTGGGAATGAAATGTTTTCCATTTCCTTATTTTTTAGATTCTCTTGTGGAATACGAATCTTTCTTTTGGTACATAATTATTCGCTTGTGTCATAAAAATGTTAAAATTGTTGAAATGCAGGGAAAGCAGTTATGTTTTCAATAATGCAAACGGGTACTGCGTGCGAAGAAGCGGGGACATTAAAACTTCTGACTCGACAGGTGGCTAATTGATATGAATGACGGAGAGACAAAACAGGACAAAAAGAAAATAAAAATCGCAATGTAAAATTAAGCATAGTTTGTTCTTAGCGTGTGCTCATCGTGAAACTGATGCTGGAGGGCAGTTTGCAGAGCACAAAAGAAGTGAGTTGCTCGAGGTGAAGCCAAGAGCAATTCTAGCTGAAATTAAAATTAAAATTAAAATTATAGAAAAGAACAAACAGAAAATGCGAAAAGAAGGAAAAAAAAACAAAACAAAAAATTGGCAAAAACTAGGAAAAGATGAAATAAAATAAAGGGAAAAAAATTCCCTAAAATATCGCAACTGGGAGGGGCTATTTATCTCGGTACAGTTTCGGTTATTTTTGCCGCGGGGTAAAACAGGGAAAACGTTTATCTGAATTTCTCTAAAAGTGCACTGAATTTAAAACTAAAACTAAGCACAAATCGCAATACATTGCAATATTGCAATAAGTTATACATTGGTGAAACAGGAAGACGACTAGGTGACCGATTCCGAGAACACCTTCGCGAAGTAGAATTAAATGACGAGGACGCATCCAAAAACGTCGTTAGACACTTCAATCTCCCTTATCATTCTAAACAACATATGGCAGTTTGCGACCTTTCCTTACGTCTAGGTAGTTCGGAAAGCGGCAAAGCGCTAGAACAAAAATTTATCTTCCAAATTGGCACTCTTAATCCCCACGGTATCAACGAGCGCTTTTCATTCAACTAATTTATTATTGTTTTCTCGTCACTACAACCCACAATTCCTCCAATCGCTCTGACGAAGGGCTAACGATCGAAACGTCAGCCTTTTAACTCTTTACGTCTACAAAGTTTCGGAGAAAAAAGGGAATAATAAGCATGACAATTATGGTAAGTGACCGTTCTGCAGCCAAATTAGCGATATCGAGGAGCCCATTTTTGTGTAATAAAAATCTACGTCCAACTAGCAGATGAATTTAAAAGTAGTAGGAATGCACTTCCGTCTAAAAGCTGCAGGAGAAGGGAACTATATACACCAAATAAAAGTATAAAGGAATCAAAATTTCAGTGAAATAAGAGTCAATGATTCTATTATTTTGGTTGGGGAAGTCTGGTATTGTCTGCATCTTATGAATAAACTCACAGTAAAGAACAACACCCACCTTAACGGTGCATAGCCTTACAAGCATTTAACATACGACGAGGCTGCTTCTTAAGACTGAACTTAATTATTGATCCACAGGACTAAATTTATACAAAAAAACATGACAAATTACTTGACATAAATTAAGTGATAATACGCAACGATATAAACATCAACTTCAAGTACACAACTTAACTAATAAAACATACAAACACTCACGGGTAATTAAAACCTAAACGCAATACACACGGGAAATGGTATGACAAGAGTTTCGCAGTTATGATAGTGATATTGGTAACAATGATAGAGACAATAGTGTTTGGATCGACTCAAATAAGGTGTATCTTTAGCTATATGTATCGATAAGAAGCATCGATTTTCCGGAGGTTAATTCGCGGTTAAGTGGTCTTGTGATACCGAAAATCTGATTAAACTGTCCCTCTTGGTGTGAAATGTCATACCGGAAGTCGATTTTTAAGAGGTAGAAAATGTTCCTCAACCTGCTACGAGGCAGGGTTGAAAATGTCGTCGAATCGAAGCGATTCGACAGGAATCGGACGATTCACCTCTTCTAAAGTCATACTCTCATGCTGTTTGCCAAAGATTTAAACAATAATTGAGATAACAATTGAGTACCGGGATAGGCTCTCAGATGGACCAAGTGATACAACGGAATCACATCTACCAGTTTATTTATTTATTTATTTGTTTTATTTTTTTATCGGAACTTTTTTAAAATATCGTAAATATTGAGCAGTAAGCTTGTATCATTTATTATTTTTATTTACTGAGAAACACTTACACTTCACTGCACGTGATATCTATAGAAATAAAGTTCAGTTGTGAAATAGCCACTAAATTGTCTCACTGCCTGATACAATTCCTCTGTAGTGCGCCAGCAAAGAGGATCATACAACACCACTTCCAAAGATAAATTTCGATTCGGTATAAAAAAATTGATTTCAACTAAATCATAGAGGACCGAAAGGAAAATCTTCGTTTTGGGGCTGGGCAAAACATCAGATAACAACCATTCTATCAACCTTGATAAAATTGATAGAATGGTTTGAATCAAAATATATGTTTATGCAATATAGGAGGTGAAGGGAAACTGGGTTCCAGTCCTCAGTAGATACCCCGCCTGTGAACTCAACGGGGCAATTGACTGCCAACCCGGTTAAAGGTTACAGAACAATGACACCATAATGTCAGAATTACAGATCCGGCAGAATAAAGCTGCTAAAGTTCTGCTGGGGCACCCACCCCAAATCTCATCAACCGAAGCATTGAGGAGTTTAGATCTCAAGTCACTCTCCGCAAGAAGGTTTTTTAATCGCTGCATTGCAATCTACAAATATCTGATTGAGGAAACTGATTTTAACTTTAATTTCATCAAAAATCAAGCTGTTCATTCGTATAACACAAGACGTTCCAATGATCTTCGCTTACCCCTTCCTCAGACTAACTGGGGAGTACTGGGGTAAACAAACATTTATCTATTACGCTGCGAGAGACTGGAACAGTCTTCCAACCGATCTGAAAGAAACACATTTCCTATCTATTTTTAAATCCAAGCTGAAAACTTTTTAAAAAGATTTTAATTAATTTTAAACTTTGATATTCGATTGGTTATCAATTTTAAGATTTTGACTCTTTTTAAATTTATTTATAAACACATTTTTTTATTATTATTATTATTATTAATATTATTATTATCATTACTATTATTATTATAGGTCTTACAACCGGCGGCCATGTTGCGTTATTCAAACAACAATATATTTTTCACAAATTTGGCTAACTTTTTTATCTGTCTTTATTTCACAAATTTGATCACTTTTATTATTTTTTAATATTATTATTTGTCTTTGTTTCACTAAAGCACAATAAGTTGCAAATGATTTCGTGAGGTTATCACAACTGCTCTGGGAATTTAGAGCTTAGTATTGATTTGTGATTGAAGACTAAACATGGATTCATTGTTAACACGGCCACAGGCGAAGGAAAAAAAAACCCTTGAACGACTGGGTTTAAGGGAGCAAAGGTTGATATCCGACATCAATATACTTTAAACGTAGGTAAGTGTTTGTAAGCCTTCGCCTTATTCGTTATTTACATTTAAAAATTTGATCATTTTACTGTTGCTCATTAACATTTTCCCCCTTAATCTGGTTGAATAATGTCAAAGAAATTTCGTATCCTAATTTGTTCGAGAAAAAAAATTTCTGCGAGTTCAAAAACCATGACTACTTATACCACTTTCGTTTCACAGCTAGAGAAAGATCCTTGAGAATGAAATCAGTCGAATATTTACAACGTCCATAAGAAAAACGCGCTTCGTATTGTTTTCATTGAAAACCTAGCCAGCACCATAGTAGCGCAGATGACAGGGATGCACTGGAGGTGTACCACTGATGTAATACACAAAATATCCATTGCAATTCCTTACTTGGATGTTGATGGACCAGACGCAGCATCCTCCTGACCAATTAAAGCAGACCTGCCTGGTGACTATACCCTCACTCACTGTAGGATGAACCCCGTTTAACCAACCAGTTGCATGCGTTCCACAGCGGTAAGTTGGAACACATGTGGCAGCCATTTTATTTCCGGCTGCTCCCTGGAAACGAAACCAATTTGGACCGAGTGAATTGTCGCATAAAAGAACTCCGGTGAACGTTTCTTTCCTGTTAGCTTCTGTGAGACTTGCAGGATTTTGACATTCTGAGAGAAAACAGATAAATGCACAGCTAAAGAGTTACAGTAACGCTACCTCATTGTTGTTTCGATTCATTTCTTTCATTTTCATTTGTCTCCTTGGTGTTTTACGTTTCTTATGTAGCTTGTTAATACTCTTTAGGAGATTCAATCGCTTCAACACAGTTCGAAATGATTGACAACATTCTTGTTTCATGCATTTTATCAGTTCATTAATCTGTTATTAAGATATTTTCTCCTCTGATCATGTGCGTGGGAAAGAGCTTTGAACCTCAATTCGAGTAAAATTATCATTCTTATTTTCTTTGAGATAAAATATTTATATGTACGGCTCACGACTCACTCTTTTGAATCATTACCCGCCCTAATTTCTAAAAAATAAAGAAGAGCAATCTTCAGTGAAGCATCTAAAGTCAGACGAAAATATCTGAGATAGTATAAGATGAAAAAAAAATGCTAGCCTCTGCAATTGTAAGTAAAATAATTTCACATTACTTATAAAAGAAAAAACCACTAACCGGCTGACTGCACATAACAACTTGTTCTTCCATCCCCAACATAACCAAGGTTACAAGTACAGTTGTACGAACCAATAGTGTTAATGCACGTCGCTGTTCCACGAAGGCAAATGTGAACACCAGCTGTGCATTCATCTATATCTGGGAAATATAAAAAGTTATCTGTTCACACTGAACAGTTCATGGAGTAGTCTTTTCTAGGTAAACAATTTTTATCATCTCCTAATTTAAAACAAGGGAACTAAGATAAAACTGGTTTTAAAAAGTCCAATCCGCAGAAAGACTTTTTTCCTTAAGGGGTACAAAAGAAGTTCCTTCGGAATTGATTTTATATATTTGTCATCTGGAAAAAAAAAACTATGTGACTTTGCTTATCTTAGCTATGAAACAATTTTATCATTCGTGCGGTTTTTTTAATATCAAACATTCTCATGGGTACAAAAACTGTTCTTAGCCATGACAGTTACGTCTGGAGTGGTGGCAAGCTTGCCTCAAACATTATGTTTGATCACAGAATACCAACATTATTAGGAGGTAAAAAATTTTATCTCTCATAAATAGAGTTCGACTTTGTATTTGCCTCGAGAAGAAAATATGGCTCTGGGTTGTTACAGTATTGGATTATCAGCCTTGTATATGAAGACTGCTTGATGCCTATTTAACGAGAAATATGAAAAAAGGGACGCTACTGTAGAAGATGAAAGTCATATGTCCAAAATGAAGAGCTGACTAAGAAAATATGACAAAAGAGATATCAATGGGCAGATGATGTACTCTATAGAACATCAACAGCCCTGTTGAGAGTCATCCTCGGATATACTACTGATAGTCTGTAAGGAAGTCGATCAAGAGGAACATGGTGGAAGAAATCTGAGAGAGAGATGACGAACAAGTACTGAACATGAAGTGAACTTGTACGACGAGCAGTTTATAAAAATTAGCAAAGTTCTCTAACAAGAGGCCTTCTGTGTGTCCCACACAAATAGAATAAGTAATTTCAAAAGTAATCTATACAAAATGTCCTTACCTACACATTCTTTGCCACTTCTAGTGAAACTAGAATGACAGGAACAGTAATAGGAGCCGTTGGTATTAATGCAGTTTGCATTAGAGCCACAAATATTGACGTCAGCACTACACTCGTCAACATCTGATGAGTCAAATCGCGAAAAAATCATAGACATAGCATTTTACATTTTAAAGAAGTACGCTCTCACAATGAAAGTTCCACATTTGCAAGTTCATTCATGAAACACCTCTGAGACTTCGATACAGATTCAAAGGTTATGGTAGCATCACCTTTTCATTCAATTTTAGTTTTTCTTCAAAGCTGACGTTTAGAGCGTTAGCCCTTGGTCATCCGCTCTATCGACGGCTAAATTACCTTGTTATACTCTCCCACTGACGTAGCTCAATAGTTTCATAAACTTACCCCCCACTTCCCCCCCGAAAACAGTTGCCTAAAACGAGAGGTTTCAATACAGCTCAACTTACCTTCTGTCTCCATATCACACTGAGCAAGTAGGGATTTTCCATTTACAATCGAATTCAACCAATAGTTGCCACTGATTGCGTGACCTTCACTCAACTTGATTTCTCTATATGTTTCCGCGGGCAGCTCAGGTATAGAACCAAGAGGGACTGGAAGAAAATATCAGAGGGATCAGAATTAAAAAAGAAACTGGCTGGCTCCATAAGGATGAAGAATAAAGTCTCTAAAAGAGGGTCTCAATGGGTTTAACCGTTAGCCGTAACACAGCAAAAACAATTTAGCCGTTAGGCATAAAAACCAGTAAATTTTAGCAGTTGTCGTAAAAGAGACAGCCGTTAAAGTTTTGCTTTAAAACATAACGGAAAAAAGAAATGGCTAAAATTTTAACTTTCAACCGTAAAAATCCATCACCTCAATTAGGCCCTCCTAAAGAAAGTGTTCAAAGAAAAATAACAGGGAGAAGAAAAAGCCTACATTTTGTATTGTATGTAAAATTATACAAAAAGCTTTTACGATGAACTGCTGTTCCGCGCCAAGATATGCACAGGGATCCTGTCTTCTACTCGAGTGCCTTGCTGGCATATGGGTCCATGTGATACCATGGAATACGCCAACGGTTCTTTCTCTTTTTGTAGTTTAGTCGACTGTAGTTTCTGGAGTATGTTAAAAACAAAAAGCAATAACTCACCCCTATTCTTGTCTCGTGTAAAATAATATCGGAATGAATCTGGCACAAAATGCTCAGGTTTGGCCTTATTAGTGCGGTCATTCAACTCACAGCTATCTTCCCCGATTACGTAGTTCAGGCTCTGACACCTCACGTCATCCCTACAAGCATGTAAACACTCCATTGCGCTAGACGTTTTCATCGTCTTAAAATTGTGTCTCATTAACATAATTCCGAAAAAGGAATATTCCGTTCCACACTGTTCAGCCGTTATTGCAGACAGCAGGTGGACGATAAATAAAGATGCAAAGAGAAGAACCATCCTTAGACCAATTCAGCAAATCATCTCACTGCAAATAACATTCGACCAGAAATAGAGTCCTTTCGAGTGGCTGATATTTTACAGAAGTATGCCTAGAGATGGGGGACTTTTAAAACAGCACTCAAAATCACGTTGTTTCCTATGCTAATTTTTCAATGTGAGTGACGTCATAGTTTCTGACAGTTGTGCACTTCAATTCGCCTGATTGGTAATAACTTTACTCAAATCGGACTCCCGCTTCGCGGTCGTCCGATTTTTTTAATCACTCGTCTGACTCCACTCGGTCCTATTACCATTATTAATCAGATCGCAGGTACAGGAAAGGGTTCCCACAAGCCGGGGAAGCATTTGAATGTCAAAAATGAGGGAAGTCGTTTAGCATTTTGTTGGAAGGGAGAGGTAAGTCAGTAACAAAATGAAGAAAATTTCTGGCAACCTTCTTGGGCCATATCCGATCACTTTGAATAGCGCGTGCGCTTACGTCTTATTCATTAACTCCCAGGATCTCATAAGTAATTCCCCTTTCTGTCTCCCATAATATTCTTCTGATGTTACTTGGGATAATTTGGGTTTGGATCAACCAATAATCCCCTAATTGATATTTTTCTTTATTTTACTCACTTATCTTCTTGATATTGTCTTGATATTGTAAGGAGAAATTCTGTCTTGGTCACTAATGGTAGTTTAAGGGTTAATGAATGCCTGAACTATAAGCCGTCTGTGAAAAAAGACTGAGCTTTTCGTAAAAAATCAATTTTAGCTTGTGGCGACACAGAAAGAAGAGAATTGGACAAAAACCCAACCAAATTTTTGAGACGTCTTAAAACCTTTTTCACGGGCAAAAAATTTAAGGAAAACTTTATTCGACGGGAAGTTGAAAGGACCGCTCTTAGCCAGAGCAGTACTTAACAACGAAGTTTGCCTCAATCAAGCCATGTTTTCTAAAAAATATGCTCAAAAATCTCCGAGAAAATTTGGTTAGAATACTACAGAGTTAGGAATTTGAAATCTTTAACATGCAAATTTCTGGAGGTTTTTTGTGCGCTTGCATTTTTACAAAATTCAACTAATAGTTTCTTTTCTTTTGATTTTGCATATGAATTACTGAAACGTTTCCAAGAAGGGTCCCTTACAATAGCGAATGGAGGATGGAAATAACTGCCTGAGGAGAAAACTAACAAAGTTATGTAGTTCAATACACATCAGTCAATCTAACAGCCTCTCTGTGAGGGTGTGTTAAACATCTTTGATATATCCAAATGTGATTGGCTATCATGTTTCTAGGAAGTCTAACATTAAATTGCTGGTACATCCATCGCAGTCAACAAACTGCTGTTAAGCTTCTCGATTTGCTCAATAGCTACAAAACATCGAAAGAATTTCTTTTTCAGCTGGTTTTTGAGGACATGGGAGTTTTTCTCCACTTGTTCTTTATTTCTGTGGCTCTTTCCCACGGACAAGTTCTATCCTGCCCAGATGGTAGGTTTCAAATCTTGCATTTGTTTATACGAAACTTTCAGTTTTCTCCTTCAAAACTTTCAGCCATGTAAAGGCCTAATTGATAAAATGGCTAAGAAACTCATAGTCCAATTCATTGCATTGTTATCTTTTATTCATTCAAAATATTCTCGATTCCTTTTCACTATATGCGAACGTATGGTTGCATAGTTTTTTTTAAGTTATGAGCGTGCAATCTTCGCAACTTCTTAGCTAATGATATGTTTCGTTGCTCATAGTCTTCAATTATTTTGAAACACCCATATAATAATAAACTCACTCATATAAAAATAAACTAAAGTTTTATCAAGGTCATCTAAAATTAATGACAACATTTTTGCAAGAAAGATCCTCTAAATATGAAAAGCCCTGCACTCAAAGGAAAGGCAAATTGATGAATTAACTAATTGGAAATGAAATGCTTTTCATTCCCTTAGTTTTACATTCTCTCGTGAAATAAGAATATCTTTCTTGGGTACATTATCATTCACTGTTGTCATATTTAGTAGATATAATTTTTTTTATTCAGACAACTTTTGTACGAAAAATTTTTATCTTGAAAATAGAATGCAGACAGGTGTTAAACATAGATCAAAACGTTGTCGTGTAACTTTTAGAACTCGGAATTCGATGCATATTTTTCTCGTTATAGCACTCCTGCTGTGTTTGCATTGTGCGATATTTGAAGCCTGAAGAATAAGGTTTTCATAGCCAATAAAAACAGAAAGAAAATTGTTTATATACAGGGAAAGTAATTATGTTTTCAATAATGCAAAAGGAGTACTGAATGCAAATAACCAGGCGCATTAGAACTTCTCACTTGACAGGTGGCTAACAGATAGAAGTTATGAATGTGTAAGCATTCCCATAGTGATATTAATTAACAACTCTTTATTGGGACATTTTCCTAATTCAATTAAATCGATGCACAATGAAGGGAAGGGAAGATCTTAAACTTCAAGAGCGGTTTTGGTAGGGGTCTTTTTAAATATCTATTCAACACGTACACGTTTTATCGAAAACAAGTTCAATTGATACGAATGATGGAAAAACAAAACAGAACAAAAACAAAATAAATATCACAATGTGAAATTAAGCATGGTTTGTGCTCAGCGTGTGTATATCGTGAAGTGAATGCATGAAGGAAGTTTGCAGAGCACGAGAGAAGTGAGTTGGTCAAGGTGAAGCCAGGAGCAATGTTAGCTTCTCGAGTGCTCCCTAAATTTCCTGTGTAGATCCATAACACGACATGCACTCGCTAATAGCACGAGCCAATTATTTTATGACATAGATGATGTAGCTTGTGCACAAAGAGAAATTTCTAGTACGATTGAATCGGGTTCAGCCCGTAATCGCTTTCTACGCGAAAACTAACAATAAAAGGCAAGGCGAAAACGGCCAATAAATACTAAGAGACCGAAGCTTAATTTAAAGAAAAGCTAAATTTGCTTCTTTGAAGCGGAAAACGAAAGAATTCCCTGCATTTGCGAGACCCGCATAATCAATTCAGCATTTTGGATTCGTTTTTATTATTATTATTATTATTATTATTATTAGAATCAACAGCCAGAATGTGTCGCTGTTTGTTGAAAATTTGAGAATTCTGAAAATTGTAAGTTTTGAATCAATATCTTCAATTCAACAACACTTTTGGGACTTGTCAACTCAAAGAATACTTACTGTTCTGAAAAAGAGTTTCCAAAGTCGCAAGGCCTTACTTAAGGTCAGAAAGCTCAGTTTGCTTCTTCACGGTCATAACTCGTACAGCGTTTGGGAATGAAAAACCGTTATCTCCAAAGGTATTTTCGTGGATTGACGGAGCTCAAGAATTTTTTTTTCTTTTCTTTTTTTTAAACACGTATTATCTAGCATTTTTACTATAATTAATTTTAAGCCTTTAAAGGTGTATCTCAATCGAAATGGAACAGAAAAAAAGTCTGAGAGTTTTGAAACCACTCGGAGGGGGCAAACGGGAACTTACCTGCTTAAGTGAATGGCAAACCTCACAATATATATGCTCGGCCATGCCTACGTCGAGACACCATGATGGCTCATTAGGAGTTTGGTAGGACTTGCGAACGCGCGCTTGGTTATAATAGTCTTGATAATAAATCGTCATTTGAAATAATGTACAAAAATTGGAAGTTCATGATTGAAACGTCTTACCTATGTCATAACATTAAAAATTAATTGCAGTTTT